CCCCAGCCCAGTATTTGGGACACGGCTAAAGTCCATGCTTGACTGCCGGCCCGCCTCCCCAGTAGGAGCATGCACTGTGTTACTACTATTTTCGTTGTTTGTCAGCGTCTGTCTGATGCTGTGAACTTTAGTTCCCGGTTTAAAAGATGAAGTTTGCGTTTCACAATGACCACTGTTACTACATATTGGAGGAATTACCGCATCATGAGGGATTCGATAAAGCAGGTAGGTTATACTATCCTACCTCCATGGCGTAGATAGTTTAGTAAGACTACACTGTACATCGAACCATGTACAAATGTAGGTACATGTAGGAAAAGACCGGTCCGGACCATGAAGGAAGGATTAAACTGAAACATTTGTCCAACAGTCACCTCGGGCCCACTTCCTGAAGGCACTCGGTTCAGGAAGTACCCCGGGCTTGGGTACCCCAGAACTGTGGGGTTCATTACAAGTTTAGCACCCTGTTCCTATTAAAGGAACAAATTATACTTTTTTGAAATTACTTATCTACATGTAAACAAGCAGTTGGTGGTGTCCTCTTTAATATCAGAAAGAAGAGAACAGGGCTTTTGGTTTTGAGGAAAATTTTGGGGTAAAACGGCAGCGTACCGTGAAGAGCTGTGAATAACAAATAAGTGAATATAGTCTGTTTCCTTGACCAGGATGGAGATTTGTTTTGATGAATCCAAAAAGCCTGAGTCGGGTAGCCAGACGAAAAAGAAAATGGTGTGGTTCGACCAAGTGAGTGGTTGTCTTTGGCCAAACCCGGGTTAGGAATTTGAAGTTTTCTTGCATAAATATTGTAAAAATTTACCTAAACTAGGCCAATCAGGATTGAGTAATGGTTCCTTAAGGTCAAAATGTTAGTATGAGAAAGTGGACTTTGCTTCCTTATAGGAACAGGGTGCTAATAGTAATGAACCCCAGAACTGTGAGGACGTTGGACCCTATAGTTCTGGGGGTAGTGCCTGGGTACACGACACCCCTCTCGTTCATATAACTTTACTTTACCTTGGACCCTCTATACTCCTTAGCCAAAGGACCCTGTTTAGGGCCTCGTCGAGCAAACGCCTTTAATAATTCCCTTTTTATCAAATATAAATCTGCTTATAGGACACCTTACCCACAGACATGACAAATGTCACAGACAGCTGTCTCCTCCTTGGTCTCAAGTCATTTATCTTTGAACTTAAAGCACATTGGTTAATGTCTGGAGTTAACTCAGGCAAGTTTGCGTAGTGTTTCTTTCTTCGCCTGCTGACTTTGGGGTTTTCCCCTGAAACAATTGTCCGGGGTTTTCCTGAACTTAACTGAAACTGAACATTTCTTTGTTGTCCTCTTCACTCATTATCATCCTGTAATTGGCACGGAATGCGCCGTTGGAAGAACAGAAAAATAAGTCGATCAATCAGATATAAATAAAGTTCCTGATGTTAACCCCTGTTCCATTTCCTCTCACAGTCCTGACAGTCGTATGTTATCTGTTTGTTCATTTGTTTGCCTACTTATCTACATGTACTTTGTTATCGTAGTGTCACATGCCCATTGCATCTAAGTTTAATGTGTATTGTTTTGTGTGGTTTGTAATTTAGTTCTTACTCTTTAGCGATCCTGCAGGGGTGCAATTTTACTTCTTTAGTGTTATGTCCTCTAATTTTGATCTTGGTGTATTTTATCAGTCTTTGTGTACCTTTTAATGTTATTGTTTGGATTGCTCTTTTTAATTCCTCCAAAATAATAAATAAAACAAAAATGCTCTCAAAACAATTAATGGTCATTCCAACAATGCATTTGAAGATACATTTTGGAAAATTGAAATTGCCATGAGACATGCACAAGCATTGAGACAACACACATATACATGGGGTTGCTATAAACAATTTGTTGGTTTGTTGCATGGCATCACATACCTGAATTTGATTGAACATGACTAGTAAGAATTACTAAGATTTATTAAGCTTCTCTTGGTGTTTCACAGATAAAATGACATTATGGCAGCTTGGGAAACTTCTAGAAGGCGGTCGGAAACAGAGAGGATTACATGGTCCTGAAGCCAAGTGGGCCAGTCAGTACCTGCTATTCCTCCGCTCTCAGACGTACCAGATATGTCCAGCGTTTTATTCGAAAATGAGCCAGAACCGGTCGGTCAAGGTGGTCTCCTGTCTCAGCTATATCGGGAAGACATCCTACTGTGTGGACGAGGTGCTTCTTGACCTGTTAACCAACGAGCCCCTGGTCCAAACCTGCTACCATGCCGTAGTTGTGTCTAAAGAGACACGTCGGCCAGTGGCTGTTCTCCAAGAGTTGGCCAAGGCCAACGTGGTGACTGAGCCCCAGGAGGGCAAACGCCCTCTACCGGACCTGATGTTCCCAAGGAGACCCACAAAGCATTTTACTCACCGGAGGATTGTGATGGCGACTGACACCGACAGTAACCAGCACCTCAACCAGGTAGGGTATCTACGATTCAGCCTGGACTGTGTCAGTGCGGCGGCTGTAACAGGTGCACTGTCCGCCTTCAAAAGAGACATCGTTTACTATAACGCCAAAAGGGTGTGGGTCCGATTTGTTGGTGAAGCAACTGCTAGAGAGGAGGTCACCATCTCCTGTTGGGAAGATGACAAGTGTTGCCATGTAATTTGGGTTGAACTGTCAAAAGGCTCACAGGTCATAGGCCATTGTCAGCTACAGTTTTATGCAGATAAAAAAGAGAAAGACGTAGAATCATTGTCACAGGCAAAGTTATAGGTGGATTTGAAGTGCTGAATTGAAAAATCAAGAAGAACACAGTAAAGACTGGTGAATTCTTAATATTGCAAACCTGGAAAATTATTACCTCATCTTTGTTCCGTTTGTTTTCATTTTCAGTCTTTGTAAAGTTTTAAAGGTGTTTCCAGATGATTTTTTAACTTGTCTATCCAAATTTCCACGTTCTTGAATCAACTTGACTATGTCATCCTAGGCAGGGGCTTCAAAGAGTGCACCGATAAGTTTATGTAGATGTAGACTTGCACCAAAGTGATCGATTTATCAAATTGTGCACTCATAATATTTTGTGCATATTGTAAGTATTTGGTATAGCACAATACAAGTGATCAGACCTGTCTCGTAGATACAGTTTCAAATTATGCGAACAAAAGAGCCAGTGGTTTCCTTTGGTGGAATGTACATATAAAAAGTGATAGCAAAATTACTGTTGCAAAGTTTCTCCTCTCCCCTGTCCTCACTTCTTGTTTCTCTCTTTTTTTTTACATCCAGACTCTCTCTCTCTTTCGTCCATCCCGTGAACAAAACATTCTGAACGTTAGAATTCACGCCAGCTAATCTGGGATGCTGTTTCATTTCTTGCTTCTACGAAAGCATGTGATTTTCAATGGAAATGCACATTTATTCAGTGTATTGCTTGTTAATCTCAGACATATTTTCTTTTAGCATATTTTAACAAGGCTGATACATTTCGATGAAAACAGAACGTGACAAACTTGCCATCAATTAATGATTTCTTATTCCTGACGGGGTGTAGATAATCCTTATTTTGCAGAATGCTAACTGAAATCCTAATTGAAATAATGCATTCATTGTCAAGAAAATTGAAACGATTTTTGTGAAGTGGATTAAAAGAAAGTCTACTTCCAATAGCTTTCACCAAACTGTGGAATCCTTTGAAGTGTCAATTTTCAGTGGCTTTTTTCACCTTAACTAGTCAGTGAAGTGTCAAATGAGGGCAGGGTACCAGTGACCCCAAAACATTCATTTTGCCCCCCCCCCAAAAAAAAACCAAGACATGAATGTGTCACTGTTTGTACTTTGGTTTTGATCTCACAAAGTGCCCCTTATATTGAACTTAAAACAGTGGTACACACCGTATTTGTCACGGGCCTCAGACCGGAATTAATCCCGAAAGTAGCTCATAATGCTCAAGCCCCTCCCCCTTCCCTTCGAGCCACACGGGCCTGGGATGTATTGCTATATTAGAGCTACATGTAGTGGTTGCAGAGGTACGTGCACGTGTTTTATATATTGTATCTTCATTACTCAAATAGAAAAAACAATGGAAACCTCTGGGGCGCCTCCCTTTGGGTCACTACTGAATTTGAATACCGCAAAATCTATTAGTAATTGCTGAGTTATTTTCAGTTCAGTTCAGTGCACGTCATGAAAAGCAGTGAATACCTGACCCCGTTTTAAATAAAAGGAATTTGAGATTTACGTGACGTTTTGAGAACAGTTCAAAGGCCCGGCCTCGACCGATAAGATAAACGTGTTACCTTATCTCCAAAGGCCACATTATAGGCACTAATACGAATTCAAACTGTGCCCCGACATGTGAAGTTGTATCCTTGAATTTACGTGTGTTTTTGTAATCCATATCTACTCGTTTTCTAAGATAGTTATCCCACAGGCCAGATATTTTGCAACTTCCAGTGATAGGCACAAACGTACGAAATGGTGAGTGTGGTTGTGCGGAAAAAATGTTTTAAGAGTCATTTCACATAAATACCAGACATGTGTCCACGAACAAAACATCAATTTTTTGATTCAAGGACTTGGGTTGGAATTAAACAACATGCATAGCCTGTTGTCATGGAAACAAATCATTTTGCGTTTTTGGTGTTTTAGGCCGACTTAGGGCTCTGAAAAACTGGTTTTGGGCTTGTATTTAAAAGTCCACCAAACCAAAATGCAAATATATTTCTCAAATCTACTTGTATCACTTTAAAGTATCATCCTTGCCTCTGCTTGTGACAAAAATTATCGCTTTAGGTGGCACCCTTGTGCTTTGTAACAGCTTGCATTAAAGTATGTTTTAGGAATTTGCAAATTTGACATTTTTACCCAAATTTTCCTATGTTTTAAGAATTTGCAAATTTGACATTTTTACCCAAATTTTCCACCTCAGAACATCAACTTGCCAGGGGTCTCAGAATATTTTCCGTTTGATTGCTCGCGCAGTAACAGTCGGGCTCAGTTGATCCAGTGACTCAAAGAGCAAGACTTGTTTGAAGTCGGTTCACCACTGAACAACTGGAATTGTTTCCTATGGCAACATAAGTTACAATGACACTCCATCGGGCCATCTTAAAACTACTGAATGGCCACTGCGCAATTTTCCGATTTCATCACAAGTTCACCATTATGCAGCCTTGACTAAAATGACGATATGGTGTAAGATTATCGAACGCCTAGACCAATAGTGCTGTATGGCGGGCTTACAATTTAACCACAAGGAATTTTTGCTCACAATTATAAGGAATCTGCAAGCGACCCTGAGCAATTTGAAGTACATTTTCCAATCAACGTTGAAGCACCATTAATTACCTTCCCATCCTGGAAGTTGAAATAAGTTTTCGTAAAGATACTTCTGTGGCATCCTCATTATACTGAACGACATGTCAAGTTGTTAACAATGGGAACACTGTAATGTTCAATGAGAATAGCTCCATGCCGTAGCTTGTAATGCGTACAGCAGAAATGTCGACAGACTCGGGTTTTTCTGGATGCCGTTGATTTTTGGGCGGTAAGAATAGCAGTGCAGTGCATTTTCGTCTGATGTTCCAGAGAGACAATTGCACAATCATGTGTAAATACTAATAACCATGGCGTGTCTAACGGGGCACCCCCGACGGACTTTTTTTTTACAGGGGAAAGAAGGTAATGGGTATATTTATTTATGAATATTAGTACCAGATCCGTGAAAGAGAGCACCGTGAAATAAAAGCAGGGATGTCGGGACAGAGAACAAGGCTTTTGAATTAAATTTTTTTCTCCCTCAACATCACGCTAAATAAGCCCGATGACGCATCGGTTGCTTTTGAATTCCCCCCCCCCGACACCAAAAGCTGCATACTCTGCCGCTATAATAACCCTTTGTGGGAGGCCTAGTTTTCCCCTAACCGTCGATGTTGAAGATTGCCTCAGACAAAATTCCCAATTTAAAAGCAATACACATATGTTGTAGTCTCAAACTGTTACTGTAATTTCTGCATACCCTTGAAAAGACTCTGGTGTTCCACGATTCATATTACTCAATCCTTAAAATTCAAATTATATTTTTTATCTTTTGCCACAAACAAAATAAAGAAAATGTCAGTCGACGTCTGCTCGAGTCCCATTCAAAGCCGATTATTTTGTCCGAGATAGCATTCAAATTGAGTCTATTTGGATCTACAAGGACGAAAATATCCGAGCTGGCCACAAAACGGGGACAAAGGAGACCAATGATTTCCTATTATAACTGTTTTCCATCTTTTCTTCATGCATTATGCCATTCAATATGTCCACATTTCTACTTGTAAATCAGATAATTCAAAGAGTAATAAGCCTTTATTTTGCCTGTCTGATAAAACTTCGCAGAAGTCCAGTTCACAGCATGGTCGAAGCTTCCTTTCTTTTGGATATTGTGCAGGTTCTGTGCAGATGTTTTTCCTCAATGTTCTCTGGATGCTTTCAGCTGTGAAACAAGTAAGGGGGTAATGTGAACCACGAGTGATTGACCGCAAAATGATACAAGGGAAAGAAAACAGCCGATGCATATTGATAACCACTTGGTTTTCAACATGTTGAAGAAAGAATCGGGAATCAGGGTACATGTGTTTTCGTTCGTTTCAAGCTCACAAAACAAAATTATGCGGTTGTAGTCTGTTGACCGGCTGTGTTAAAACTCGTCAAGGCCCCTGATTCAACGCAAGGTGTCAATTTGGTTGCTGCGACCGATGCAGCCACCACAAACCATCTTCCTGAGCTGTTTTTTAAAGCGATCGTACGTAAAGCAGTAGATGATCGGATTGATGCACAGGTTGATGACGACGATTGCGCCCGTAGCCTGGTAGAAAACGCTATCGGTTGAGTTGCCATTCAACCCAAGATTAAGCAAGATGTAGTTCACATCGGTCGGTATCCAGCACACAGCAAAGCAGATAGCCACGACCACCAGGGTCTTGGTGACATTCATGTTAGCTTTGGACAACATCTTTCGGGCGTCGTTGTTGCGGACCCTAGCTTTAGATCGCTTACGGAGCTCCAAGCTAACTTTTGTGTAGGCAAAGATCATGATAGAAATCGGAATAACAAGTTCCCAGAGGAGAATTAGGATGCCTGTAACAGCTTGGACGAGATGACTGGGCCACGTTGCATGACAGGAATCATTGCTACTGTAAGTGGTCCACAAAATAGGAGCCTCTGGTAGCCAACCACATATCCAGACACCAACCATCGTGCAGCTCAGACGTTTACCTGTCAGCCTGTTACGGTGGCAGGCAGGGTGACAAGTCGCCCCGTATCGCTCCAAAGATATCGCAACCAGATTGTAGGTGGACGCAACGAACATGCCGTACTGCGGCCATTCAGACCACCAGAGAGTGCAATAGAGTGAACCAACCACACCGTCTGGTACCGGTGTTGAGACCACCAGAAATCGGCGGAGAAGGAAAACCAAAGACGCCACCAAATCGATCACAGATTGATGCAGGATGAGCTTGTTGGTTGTGGAATTGAAAACCTTGGGATACCGCAGCATCACCAGGCAGACAAAAGTGTTTCCGAGCAACCCCAGTAATCCCATTGCGATGTACACATAGAAAGAAGCAGAAAGGTCGATGGACTCGGGACTCTTGCTGGCTGCTGTAGATGCCTCCATTACCAAAGTAGTTTGGGCGCTATTTATCGTCAAATGCTACCTGAAGACAGCTTTGTTATAACCCGTTCTGGTAGTTTCCCCTGGCCGTCTGTGTCGATACAGATTTGTATGGTGGCCTTAAGTAGTGCCTGGGGCCTATATGGACGATATGACGTCATCATTTTAACCTCTCGACCAATCAAAATGCTGCATTTTGGCCTCATTATCATAATTTGAGGAACAGATTTTGAGGAGCCAACTGGATAGTTCCCAACTGTGTACAGGAGGGCGTGTTGATTCGCGCAAACGAATGCAAAAAGAAAGTGCTAAAAATAGATAATTGTTTTAATCGTAACTAAAGAAGGAGTTACAAGTGTTTGAAAATTTAGACGAAACTGTTGTGGTCATAGTAAAGAATTAACCATGACATACAATGTCACTGAGCACAGGGTATATGTGACCCTCTCCAGGAAAAGCTGATATAAGATATAAAATCAAGTTATATACATGACTGGAAAGCCCACTTTGTAAGTTTTCATTTGGTATATGATAGAGCTCCGTAGCCTTTCCCGTTCTGGAGTTATGACATATTTGCATATTAACTAGTTCCGGGCAATTGAAATTGCAAAACCGAGAAAACAGGCTTTGAAATATCTCGCTCTAGTGTGAGTTGTATTTAAATCTTGCTTAGCAACCAACATGATCTTGTGTTACAACAACCTTCAAAATTCGCACAAGGCCTAAGGAATTAGTATTTTCAATGATTTTGTCGGAAAAAAAGGAATTTTTGAATCCAGATGACCATCTTTTGGCTAATTTGCATAATGATTAAAATGTATTTCTTTTCAGTTAATTTGAAATTACAACTGTCATCTTCATCACAACTTGTGAAACCAGTGACAGATACGAACTTTTGATCAGAAAGATGTTTAAACAGTATTTCTATCTATATGCATAAAAAACCTGAGTTTTGTAATGATTCCCTGAATTTTAGTTGAAAATGTTCATTTTTGGAAAAAAATCAGTAGGCCTAAAAGATGGGTATACATCCAGAAAAAAATATTCAAATCGTTTTCCAAGTTACAAAAACAATGTTTAGTATTAAATAAGAAGAGCATTCTGTACCCAATAATCGGCAGATGTTTGAGCCTTACATAAGCACATTTTGTAAAAAAAAAACATTTTTTGGTCAAAATTAAGCAAATGATATTATCATTCAGAATAGAACGACCCTAAGAAATTCGTTGCATGTGGGCGACTCATCAGTCCAATGCACAAATACTATATCATCAGACGTGTTTGTGATCCGCTACACTGAAAAAATGGTGTTATGTAAGAGCGCAGCTCCATGGTAACATCATTCAACGTTGCGCGTAAAACAACAAAAGTGTACCAGTAAGGAGCGTATTATTTTAACTGGCACAGCTCTTCATGGTCAATTCTAGATAACTTAATTAGTCTTTTCTTTGCTTACTCTATAAAACACTAAACCCATCTCTCTTAATTTTGGCGCTGGCTCAGCTCGAGAATTGATGCTATAGAAAATAACAAAGCAAGGGATTTATGGAATCAAACTTTTGTTTCAAATCAAGTTATAAGTTTCACTGTACGTAACCCTTTCCTTTCCAAGTACTCCCGTTGAAAAAATAACCCAAACTTTACAATTTATAACCCCAATTATAGGGTCACCTGTAGCCGCTTCTTCAGTGACTCTGCAACGTATCCATCTTTGCTTACATCACTCTTCTAGAGTCCATGATGCTTAACCACTACAGTGCTCACTGAATTGGTTATTAGTTGATTCTGTTATTCCCCCTGATCTAAGCCCAAACTCAAATCTGGTGCTCCTGAAGCTAACATATTTATAATGCACTCTCTTGCCCTTGTATAGTTCAGCTTCTTGGCCTTGTAAATCAATTCACAAATCCCTTTAAATTTGAAAATCGGTTTGAAAAAGTAACTGGGTATTGCTACTGACATCTATGTACACGTGCATGCCGAAGTGGTACCTTTAGATATGACGCCCTTTCCCACTTTGATACTAATCTGTTTTGCTTTTACGTATCTGTTTTGAAAAATCTTGGTGTATTTGAATATCCGTACAATGAATGGAGCTCAATTTATCATATCGTAAAAAACCTGCAAATACTGTTACAGTAGTAATCATACACAAATTCCAGATCACAGCGAGATCCCTGTTACCTTCAAACTTATCACACAATGCCCTTACAATATCAGCAGTGACGACGTCTGTTTGACTGTTTTATGCCCCGTAATGTGTTTTGCCGATTCGTGTAGATTTCACAGAAAGGCATTGTTGAGCTTATGTGCCCGCTTGATATTGTATACAGCAGATAAGATGACATGATGGGAACTGTGCCCGTCCAACAGCTCGGTGAGATAAACTGCGATGTGCAACAGGTTCTGCTGGTAGAGCAGGAAAGCCTGTTAAGGAACAGAAACCTCGACATAAAGCAGAGCGCGAAATTAGACCAAAAAAGTGCTCGGACAAAATGTCATAACACAATCAATTTTGTTCTGCCATTACCAGCTCTTGATCTGCCATATTATATAAAAGGTAGAGATGTAACGTGCAGTGTCAGGGGTCGAAATTCAATTTTTTTTTTCCTGGTCCTACCAGAACCGCACACGCAGCTGCATTGAGCAATCCTTGTTCGGGCGCAGGCCGCGATGATTTTTTTTTTTGATAGTTCGCGCGATTGGGCAGGCCATGTCATAAATTTGCTTGCTCGAATTGGATCAACACTTGCCAGAGATTTTTTCAGAATCCACGATTATTGTTATTTAACTACGGCCTACTGCATACATGCAGTCTTTTATTAGGCCAAAAAATACACGATGTAGTTGTGCTGTGCATGCGCACCTCTCAAAAATTGGGTCAATAGGTGGGAACTTTTTTTGTTTGAGGGCAATTCTGTGCTGATTGAATGGCAACAGTGGAGGCAACAGCCTCCAAAAGTATCTCAGAAAGTGATGAACACCTGTCTTAATGTCTATGTAAACATTTCTGCATACAGTAATTCACAAGAAAATTATGAACAATTCACACAATCACGACGGCAAACTGGCCAACAATGTCCGTGTATCGCGTGGTAAGCGTGCGTGATGCATCGAGACCAGCGGGCGCTAAACCTTGTTCCATGAGCAGAACAACCTCAAATTACACTCATCAATACAGAAAATACATACATAAATATAAGAGACCAAGTTCTGTGAATTAACTTGCAGAAAACCTCTTGCAACATAACATCCGTCTTTCCGGCCCGCAGCTTTTTTGCATTCCCGACGTGAGCGGCCGATGAAGAGTGTACATGTACAATACGGTTGCTACAGTTCCATCACGCATTCTTTTTGCACAGGTGCGGCGCGGCGGGAACCAGAGCAGCTTCGTTTAATGCACTGATTTTCGCGCACGTGTTTTCACCACTGTGACAGCGCAAAGTATTATGGTGCGATTTCATGTCTGTGCAGTGAAGTATACACGCGTGGCACTAGGTGACATGCATTGACCGGTGGGTGATGAGCTATCAACCCTGATGAATCCCTTCTGCGTAATTAACGTAATTCTAACCCAAAACTAATAATAAATCGGACGCCATAATCCCATATATTGAGTTGATATTTTAAGAGCTGTTATTGATATGTTGGTCGGACAGTTTGTCTGAGCATCTTTCAATTTCTTCGGACAAAAACAGTAAGTGGTAGAAAAACGTCCGATGTCCGACTGTAATTTCACGCTCTGTTGAAGCATACTGTAATATTTGGTCACTGTGCTGTCGCTCTTGGAAGCTATGATGAACGCACACATCTTGCTAGCGATGCCAACATCCATAACTCCAGCCTCTTCAAGTGCCTGTGAAAATGTCACTTCAGCCCAATACCTGTCACACATAAACAAACTTCTGTAACAACGCCCTGGACCTCTAGTCTTCTTTTTAACTTATTTTCAGAAAACAAGTTTCAGTGCAATCATTCTGAATTTTGAATAATTTTCAGCAAATATGCCATTATTACGTCCTCTGCTTATAATATTCGCCTGGGGCAATACCCAACTGTCAACCACCAAAAGCCTTGTTTTCTGACACTAGATCGACCAGAATGGGGCTGACTTCCACACTGGAATATCCACAGTACCTTTTGCACTTTCTTGTTGCAGTGCCATCAATGATTTCATTACCAACCCACGTCGGGGCACCATCCAATTGCTTTTGTTCTTCCAATTTTGATCAGATGCATTGACCCCTTCCGTACCGGGGCACCACCATCTTGAATTATTTTTTTTTTACAATGTGCATTTAAAGTTTGACTATCCACTGTGTATGGGCCCCAGGCCTCATTCAAGAATCTGAACAACCATGACTGCACCTGCCAGTCATCCCTGTCCGCCGTTCTGCTCAGCAAATCTGCTTTTGTGTTATGACTTTTTTGTTCCCATTCTAGCTCCAAAATAATACTTTTATCTCGACAACATTCATTGACACTTAATACTTTCTTGACACTTCTATTATCTGTCAACCATTTCACTTTCTTGTTTTGCAAAACATGTTCATTACTTTTCATTACTCTTTCCTCAGCCTGCGTTTCTCTCCAAGCGGAGCTTGTTTTGTTTTTTTGTCCATCCCATGCATGTGCCGACGACCTCTGTCGCTTCAGCCAAGGCTCCCGCACAAAGGGAAACATACGCGCCGTAACCACCAGCAGACGTATCACTGTATGCCTGTCATTGTTTTACTCTAAGCTTCATCGTTAAGTTGTCTAACATTTCGTTTCCAAAACAATAGCCTATTTCTGGCTTCTTCTGTCACTTTGACTGAGGCGTTCCAACTTGCCCAAGATTCAGTACAAAATTCATAAATCCGGTTTTCAGTCTTACTGCCTTTCCTACTGCATTCATCAAGGGGGTGATTTTCCGTACAACTGCAGCTGGATATCTTACTTGTACTAAACTGTCTCAGCTTGTATTTACTTGATTCAAAAGACTCTAATTAGGCCTCTAACCTGTCTAATC